AGTATAATCTTTGAGGTGTTCATATAAATGAAACATTTATTCAGACATTTGATAGCTGATCAATTGTGAATAATCAACTCCATAGGTTTTCCCCCTGCGAATTTCAGGAAGTTTATTTTCAAGGAGATATTAACCACGTTTCCTGTCAAGTGATAGGTAAGTGTTTGGGGATGTAAATCTAATAATTGAAACAGACTGAGGACTAGTATCATACATCTAACTTGAATATCTATGCAAATAGGAAAATTGTATTCATTTATCTGTAGCGACAGCTAGAATTATGTATTTATATCAAACTTTTTAATATATTCTTTTTTATCGAAATATCCTTGTAGACAGTTAATACGTCATAAATAAATATCCTCCATAAATAAATATAAATCGTCATAAATAAAATCAATATCTTGTAGATAGTTATTGTAGATTATTTATTTATTTCTATATCTTTGTAAATATTCTAAAAACAATTCACGGCGTTAAACTTCGTTGTTAGGGTACCCTTCCCGTAAAAGGATAACTCTCATAAATGGACAATATATATATATATATAATGATCTGAAAAAAAAAATTAGGATTTAACAGAGTGCACGCCACACTCCAATGGCATTTTTCGCAGACGTTGTTTTCGGCCAAACGGAATGAAACTACTTTAAAATTGTACTACAAATATTTCAAGGACAATATGGGTATTTTTGGAAAATATGGCGTGTATTCCTTAATTTAGAGACAGTTTAAAAAGAATTCTGCTATGCAAAACCTTATTAGAATTTAATTAACTGTCCGACACATGAAATTTTCCTCATATTTCCTGTTTTGGACATGAACTCTTTTGAAAAAAGTTCTGCAAATATTTCTGGAACTATATAAGAATTTTTGGAAAATATGACGTCCATTCTTTGATTTAGTGCCAGTTTCAGATGAATCCTGCTGTTTTAAGTATGAACAAAAAATCCAGCTGGCATTTTCCGCAGATTTTACTCTTTTTTGACAAAGTTTTCACATTTGAAATTCGTCCTACAAATATTTCTCGGCATTTATAAGCATATTACGGAAAATATGACGACTGTTCTGGGGGTACTGGATTGGAGATCGATCGTTCTCTGATTCAGGTCAAAATTACTATCTGTGGATGTATGAATGGGTCCGCCCTATAAACGGGTGCGACGTATGGTGCGGCAAAAGTCGAATTCTTAGCCATAGATGGCGCCACTGAAAAACAAGAACAATCCCACCCCCTCTGCCTAAACAGGCATACGTCAACAACAACAACATATCGACTGTTCTTTGATTTAAAACCAATTTCCTTAAATCCTGCAGAGTTTATGAGAAATTTTTAAAATGTCCGCCACATAATTTTTTTTTGTAGAATATATTTCTTTTGGAAAAAATTCAAATCTTTTAAAAATTATTTAAAAATTTTTATTGGCATATATGCTTGAATTTTTGGAAAATATGACGCTCAATCTTTGTCTCAAAACCAGATTATAAAATTCAAATAATCCTACTGTGAAAAATTTATTAGAAATTCATAAAGAGGCGTCTCACATGCAATTTTTTGCAAATTTTATTCGTTTAAGACAGAATTAAACACTTTATAAAAATGTTCTATAACTATGTAAGCATCTATTAGAGTTTTCTTAAAATATTACGCGTATTTCTTTACTTTAGAACCCGTTTAAAATAAACCTTGCCCTAAAAATAATATTTCAGAATTTTATACAGTTCCCGTTTCACAAGTGGACCACAACTATGGCCAAACACCTATCCCCATTTTTAGGTCTCTATTTTTTGACGGCTATGATTAGAATGCCACTTAAGTTTGACCGTGGTCAGATGATGCGGCCAACGCCTGAGCTGATACCTCTCTCTTCAAAGTTCCAGTCGCGGCAGATTTAACATGCACCTTGCTGCGTATACACTCTGGTAGTTCTATCGGCCGCCAGTATCGAACTCACTCTTCCCAGATCTCCAATCACCGATGTGAGTGACGGTTTAACAGAATGCGCCTCCGGGGGGCTAGAATTGAGAGATCAAGCGTGTGAGCTGTCATAATCGCACATGTTTACAAATTTCTGAATGAAAATTCTTTTCTTTTACTTGCTTGGACAACGCAAAACTGAAACAAACTGAGCTAAAAGTTGGGAAGAATTGAAAGGTTAAAAGTGAATAATTCATATAATAATTGTTATTCATTGAGAAATGAGTATTAGTCGTGCTTTTGCGTCTTAAGTATCATAATAAAAAAGCGTTGATGGCACTTATGAAAGACGTAACATTGCGTAGGAGATGTGCCACCATACATTTTGATTTTTAAAAGCATAATTATTGTTTTGTTTCTGTAAGTTTTTCTATTGCATGTCATTTAGTTTAATTTAAATTTTTTTTTTTTCAATAGCTTATAATTGGCTAGATATTTCTTTTTTTAAAAAGAAGGATTTAGTTTTAAAATTGAAATAATTGATTTAAATTCTTATATTGAATTATAAAAACTATTTTTTTTAAAAAATGTTTTCAAGATTTATGGTGCTGCCATCTGTGAATTACCAAGAAACACTAGACACGAAAATAGTGGCTTTATTCATTCATTGAATTAACTAACTCAAATTTTAAGAGTTAAAAATTTCCCATTAATCCGAATATATGTTTTTAAGTATTCCTTTTTTTTTCTCTGTAAATGTGAGGTAATTTTTCATACTTGTAATTATCATTCAGTTCTTAGTTTTGTTACATATTTATAAAAATAAAACTCTGTCTTATGGAAATGGAATCGCTCTATCATCTCATCTTTACCGTTTCCAACTAAATTAAATATTAGCATTAAACTAAATTCTTTCAAGTAATAAAAAAAAAATTATTACCTCAATTCTTCTTTTTTTTTTACATTAGTCAACTTAGTAAATATTTGCATAAAATTAAGTTCTTTTAAATGATAAAATTAATTTAAAACTGAAAAATACCTAACTGATACTTTTCCAATATAAAATATGTGCTTTTTATTAACAAAAAAAAAAGTTGTAGAAAAAAATATAAAGGCAGCTGAAAAGTCATGGTTTTATCATTATATCACGTGATACAAAAGTTCATTTTAAAACAAATTGCCTCTAATGCATAAATGAAACTAAAAAAAAAAGATAAATATTTTATTAAGCAACATAAACACAAATTAAATTATAATTAAAGAAATTGTATCGGTCTAAAATGATTTAAAACAAAACTATCGCCTTATAGCTCTAAATAAGATTTAACATTCAGTTCGGATTCTGTTCAGCATAATTTTAGCTTTAGGGCATTTATATTTAATGAATAATAAAAGATTTTATGAATATTAAATCTTAAAACGGTTATTTAAGCTCTTTCTTAAGCTACAAAAAATTTGGAAATAAAGTTCAAAAACAGTTTAAAAAACAAAGTTCGAATTTCGCGTGCTATATTAATAGTGTGTTAAAAATATTGAGATTAAAAAAAAAGTAGAAATATCTAATATTAAGTTAAAAGAAAAACGATTAAAAAATAAAAATAATAACTTGGATTGATGATGAAATCGGTACAAATAAAGCAAGTCAAAATTGATCATTAAAATCCCTGATTCGAAAATCGCAAGACGTTACAATACCAGTATAAAAATATCAAGATTTTAGAAATCCCGTGAAAAAGCGTAGCAATAACTGTTAAAATGGAATAACTGCTGAACTGAATTAAGAAAAAAAAAACTCTTAGATTTGCGATGATTCTTACATTTATGCGCTCTTTATTTGCGACACATATAAGGGGCACATGTAAATGCGCCATTTCAGTGTCATATTAATATACTAAAAATATTGGGATCATGTAGAAATGCATAGCAATAATTGCTGAAAAAACGATAGGAAAAAATACTTAAAGAAACGATAAACGACTGAGAAAAACGATTTAAATTTAAAATTTAGTTACGTGTTAAACTTAGATATACGTGATTAGAGAAACCGAGAAAAAATACCAAAGGCAAAGAGAGAACTTAGAAAACAGTACTATGCTACACAATTCAAAACTCGTGAGTGGTAATAATACATGTATTAAAAAAGATCGGGATTTTAAAGAACACATGGAAATCAAATAATAGCCTCGTAAAACACGATCGAAAAGTCACTCAGGTTAACTATAAACTAGACACAAAGAGTTCTAAAAAGTCACTACTAAAAAGTTGAAATTCACGTATCATAATTTAGTCAAAATGAAAGTATTGGGAATTTTAAAACTTCAGAAATTCGTTGTGATAACCACCGAAAAAAAAAGAGATGTAAAAACTACATTGATTTAGAATTAGCTCGTTAAAAAATGCATTCAAAATAATTTTAACATAATTTTTAATTTTCACAATTTATATCTAAATTTTCTCAAAATAGGTACCTTGCAGAAAAACTTAGACAGAAAGTGAATGCGAAAGTGGCAGAATTCCTATAAACTATTCTTGACTTCCAGGAAAAGGTTGGCTATGAGAGATTTGTACCCTTTCTAACCTTACAAGAATAATAAAAAAAAATAAAGTTATATGTCAAAAATCCTTGAAAAATTATTTTTAGTGTTAAATGTTAAAAAATTTTATGTAAATATATGTATGTGGTATAATTAAGTTAAAGAAATGCCTATTTTTTCTACTAAAAACAATTAAAGCACTTTCAAAAGAATTTCTTAATTAAATTTAGTTTTGTAAAGTACCTATATAACTCGAAACCTCTTTATCTCAAATTTTTTGCCTTTCCCGTGAGATTTGAGATAAATAGGTTTGACTGTAGTAACAATATTATTTCATTCCATATGTATTATTACCATCAATGATGGTCATATTGCCGTATTTGATATACAGATGTATGTGTATTATTAATTGCATAGAACTTGTGTAAATCAGAATTTTGCAATGTAAATACGTGTTTATGATTTTGACTTCATGGCTCCTATAACCAATAAGTACCTTTTTATTTTCTTTTAAACCATGGTGATTCTATTATTAAAAAAATAAATGCTAATGTAGAATAACTTTTATTTCTTAAACTATTAATAAATGTGAATCGTTAAACAAACTTTAATTACAGTTGCTATAGTTAATGATTAATTAGAATCAGTCACGGAATATAGTGCGAATTTTAAAGCCACGGTCATCATAATCCTGAGGTGTAAATCGTTCTCGTTGCATTGGGAAATTATCATCTCCAGGAAACGCTATGGGTTTAGGCATCTGCATATAAGGTCCATATGCTCGGGTCCAATCATTCTGATTATACTTGAAATAATACCAACAGTAATAAGTAGCTCCAAGCCCACATAAGAGTTTTGGAACTATAAATCTGAAATTACCAGAAAAGGCTTGACCCAATACTGGCACCATTTTGGCTTCCAATATTTGCCATGGCTTGGACAGCATTCTTCGGATAGGATTTCTCGTCTCTCTAATCCATTCAACAGATTCTGGTCTTGGTTCAGTAGCAGATAAATACTGATCTTTCAACCATTGCTTTCTCCATTTTCGTTCTTCATCATTGAATTCCTCCGAAAGACGATATTTTTCATTTTCAAAAATACCTCTGATACTTAAGGGTCTAACACCGCCAGTCTCAGACGAAGGATAGTCGTACTTTTTTATCCTATCCTTGTCTGACATTTTTTCTGAGTAATATTTAATATTTGGCAAAAAATATTAGAAGGGTCAAATCAGACGGTGTTTATTTTAATTTTTACTTCTCTTTTCTTCAGTTTACTTCTTTGTAGTAGTAGTATATGTATTTCCTAGAAAAACTAAATAAAGAGATGCGCCAGAAAGCAGTATTGTAGTCTTAAAACATCATTTAGGAATATTTTAATCTGAATAATCAAGTTGTAATGATTTTTAAAGGAATACGTTTATTTTTCAGTGATTTCTGAATAATCTCTCGGCTACCACTTCCTTATTAAGGCACATCCTACCTAAAGTTTTGTTTTGGAATTAGCAGCAGTGGCATCACAAGTTGTTGTTGAAGTTATTTAAAAATGGCGGTTCACATACACGGAGTGCTTGAAACTAATGTCAAAGAACTTATTCATTCCAGTAAAATATTAGTTGTTGGGGCCGGCGGAATTGGTTGTGAACTATTGAAAAATTTAGTATTAACTGGTTTTGAGGTCCTATATGTGGTTTGTGTTATATTTAGCTGTTTTTTCTTTATTGAAGCTTTAAATCCGATTCTTAATTAATTGCAAATTCAAGCACTTTTGTTGTATAGTTACGTAGTTCATACTTACAAAATCATTAAAAATAAGCTTTTTCTACAAAAAAAGATTTTCTTCTTAATTTAATCAATAAGATTTTATTGTTGTAAAGGTAGCCGGTTTTATTGACCGAATAGCCGGCTAGTTCGGAATTCACCCAGTTACGAATTCATAGAATTTTTCTAAACTGTACCTATTATATTTGGAAATAATCTTAATTTTTAGATATTATTGTGTGATTTTTTTTAAACAATGCCTATTTTCAGCTAATATTTCGATTGTTTGAAAATTAAGCTAAATTGGATATAAAATTCGAACAATCGAAAATTCTTGTTGCGCATCAGTTACTGGAATATATATAATAATTATTTTCACTAAGAAGAACGTAATGTCAATGTTCGCCACTCAAATTTATTCCAGCTCATTTGCTTCTGTTTTTGAGGTTTCTCTTTTGGAACTGAATTTGCCTTCCTTTTTAATTTTGTATTGCTAAGGGCCTAATTTCCCTGTTGGTTGCCGCTCACCAACCCCCATGATTGCTTCTCAATAATTTTTGTTTTTGGCAAAGCAGAAATTATTCACTTATCATGTGTATAAAAAGAATTATGTTTTCCTGCCTGTGCCTCCACTTCTTTCTTAATATCTAAATAAAGATGCAAAAATACTATGTGTCTAATTAGTTGGTTAATAGTACTGCTTCTTTGATAATATTGTTCTGTAGAATCGTTGTGACACAGCAACATTGTCATAGATTGTTACTGAGTTCTTGCAGAAAGATTTTTCATTTAGGAAGTAAAAAATTTTGGTTTTCTTTTCTGCAAAAATTTACGTAAGCTTCTATTTTCACTTCAAAATTGTATGCCATTCTTGCGCATCGGAGTGGGAAAAAAAGAGCTTGTAATTTTTCTATTTTCATTTGAAAATAATGAAGTAATAAGTTTGATTTTCTTTTTTGCAGAAATATTCGTTCTATTTTTTTTTTGGCAGTTATTGCTATTGATTTCCACATAGTTTTTGAAATCTGATATTTTTAATTTGATATTTATAACAGCAGCTGAATCTTGAAATGAGGACACAAGTTTGCAATCCCTCCCATTTTGAAGAGTGCAATATGGCGAGATTTCCCAGTCGATTTTTTTTCTTTTTTTAGTTACTGTTCTGGATGGATTTCACTATTTTTAATTTTTTAAAAATTTGATGATGACTTACAAAGAAAGAAGAAAATAATGCGTGTATTTTCTCCCTATAAAATGCGAGAAGATAGCTTATAATAATAGAATAAAAAATATTACTTATTCAATTTTAAAAATTAAATTGTTTTCTTTTCTTTTGAAGTTGACGCTTTTGTTACTTTAAATGAGTAACCTATATGTATTTGTTATTATTAAAAGTATCTTGCAGAAAGATATTAATGCTGGAGAGATTTGTCATAGGGAGCACGAAAAAATTCTGCCACAGGGCAGGGCTGCTCTGTACATTTCCATATTGGTATCTATGCCAAAATAATTGCCAAGTTTATGCGCCTTTCAGGCAGTGCCCCCCGAGGAACTGAAATGAATGACAGAATGAGATGTAGCTGCTGCCCTCTTGGAAATCTCTCATATATATATTTTTAAACATTCGTATATAATGCACATATCTTTAAAAAAAAGTATGAAATAGTTTTAAACATATATATACATAAACATATAGAAATATACATATGTTTATATTTTGTCCCACGAGAATTAAATGTTTGCAACAATATTACTAATGCAAATTTTGTATTCATATTTTGTAGATTGATCTGGATACTATTGAATTAAGTAACTTGAACAGGCAATTTTTATTTCACAAGCAACATATTGGGAGACCAAAAGCTGTGGTAGGTTGTTCATATTGTTTTTTTTTTTTTTGTTACTGATTTATTTGATTATACATCTGCACATGTTTTTCTGGATTTGTCAATATGAAATTTGGATTGTACTTGTGGTGCGTGCATAAGTGATGTAATTACTTAACTTGTTACTTAAATATTCTATCTATGGCTCAGGGGGTAGAGCGTTCGCCTTCCAATGAGGCGAACTGGGTTCGAATCCCGGCAATGGCTGGTCTACACGAATTCCGCATATGGCTTGCACCGACCGCAGTGCTAACGTAAAATATCCTCAGTGGTAGACGGATCATGGTTTAGAGTCCCCTTGCTGTCAGGCTAACCATGGGAGGCTTTTATCTCCATGTAACGCAAATGCGGATTAGTTTCATCAAAAAATCCTCCTCAAAGACAAAATTTCTCACAATACTTTATCCAGGAATTCCTTTGTCTCCTGGATTAGGTTCAAAATTACAAGGCTACTGAGTTGAACATTAGTTGTGGTAAACCAAAAAAATTGGGTTGGCTGTTCAACAATGGTTATAAAATAAAATAAAAAATTATATCTTCAATGTTTTAGTGCAATGGCCTGCTATATATTTACCCAGAATACACTACATTGGATGTTTTTTAAGGTTAAGAAATTGCCTTGTTTTGACTAGTAAAACATTTTCATGTTAACTTTTAAACGATCTGCTTACGCAAAATGAGGAGGAGATGGTAACCATCCTGTGTGTGAAGAATCACTCCCCCCCTCTCTTCTTCCTGGACTTTACTAATGCTTGCACTTCTGTTCGCTATCTTCAATTCAGTTACTGTGATTGATTAGCCCTTTCCCCTCCACTTATTGCTCATTTATGATATAACAATAATCTTCTCCCTTAAACATCAAGATAATTATTTTTTAGAAACAAATTCACATTTTTTGGAAACTATTCTTAAAATAAGAACTTTTAAATTGTGTTGTTGTAAGGGCGTGGGCTCTTTTTTGGTCCTGATTGACAGTCAGTATTTGTGTGAAACTACACATGGGTACTTTCTAGAGTCAGTGCATTTTATCTGTATTTTATGGTATGTGTATTGTGGTAAAAAGGAAACTATCCCTAAAATGTTCGAAGTAGTCTTTTAAATTTGAATCTGTAAAAATTTTCTGATTCAAAATAAACTATCGAGATATTAGTCCAGAAATCTTCGAAAGGATTATAGCAGTCAATCAGCTGCTTTAAAATCATGATTGAAGTCCCGTTTGATTAAAAAAAGAATGGAGATCTTGCTGTACAAGGTATTGATAAAAAAATCAGTCTTGACTTATACCTCAGACACGTGGACCCTAACAAAAAGGAATATATTAACTTTCTCTGATTAGAAGATTGAGAACCCTTCTTTGGTGCTGTTCTCAATGTCAGGAGAAAAAGATGTAATTTTGAAGGGGAGAATATTAAAAAATCTATGAAATTAAGTAGAATGAGATGGGCAAGGGCACCTTATAATAATCAGCCTTGAACGAACAGTAGTGAGGGTTTCTAATATGACCCACTCCAACAGAAGACCCAAAAAGAGATGGAAAGACTGTGTGGATGAAGACTTTCCTGAAAAGAAAGATTTTCCAGGAGAAGGCGAATTGTGAAAAGTTTTTAAGCAAGGCCGAGGCTCACAATGGGCTGTTGGGCCAAGGATAACTTTGGAGGAAGGATGAATAAATGCAAAAAAAAATTATGGAATATTTTTTCTTTTCCAGATTTAAAATAATAATTTCGGTGACTATTTAATAATATTTTTCTGAAAAGTCGTTTGGTATTATGGAACATAATAAATGTTTTCTTTTAAAGAATGATAAATAGCCTTTGTTTATTTTAGGTTGCCAAAGAAAGTGTTCTGAAATTTAACCCTAAAGCCAATATTACTGCTTATCATGATTCAATAACCAAGTAAGTTTTATCTTAAATTTTATTCAGTTTGCTAGTCTGTTTCAACATTGTTATTATACATAGCAATATTGTATCTATTATGCTGTTTGTTATATTATTGTCTGCCCCTAGGTCTGAATATGATGTTGATTTCTTTCGCCAGTTTTCAGCTGTTGCAAATGCATTGGATAATGTTGGTATGTTTTTATAATTATTGTAAACTTTAAAGAGGAATATATATTTTTTTTATAATCAGGGGTCTGTCCAGGCCGAATTTCTACCGTTTAGCTGTACCTTCACAAATTCAACTTTAGGAAAAACAATAGTTTCACAAAATACTTTTTCTTAAAATTTTATTTTTGTATCCCTTAAAATTTAATCCAAATCTTTGTGTTAATTTTTTAATATAATTTTTAATTTTTCACAAATTATGTATGTCTAAATTTTCACAAAATAGGTACCTCTCAGAAAAACCTAGACAGACCCCTGATAATACCTAAAAGTAATTATCTATCACTATTTATTTAGTAAAGCATTCTTGCAACAATCTATTCTGGGATACAAGGGTCATGGAAGTGCCATGCCTTAGTTTCTTAGACAACAGAATAATTTTGGTATTGTAATTACTGCTTGGAAAGTTCCCCCCACCCCCCTGTGATTCAAAAACATACTGTGGCCATTGAATCGTCAATGTGTAGCTCTCTGTCTTCCAATTAAAATTTGTCTGGAAAAAAAATTACTTAACCAGTAGCAGAAATTTGTTTTTGTTTTTTTAAAGCTTATTTCAATATAATTAAAGGGAAAACAAGAATTATAACATCAAAATTCTTATTCTAAAGTCAAATTAATTTTCCTAAGTATTTTAATTTCAATTAAGTTATTTTAATTTAAATCCATTAAGTTAGTCAAAGAGCACAGCATTTGCACAGTAAATATATTTTAATAAAAAAATGTCACTTGATATAAAAATAAAATTCATTGTGGTTACTTGAAAGCCAAACATTTTATGTTCATTTTTGAAACAGGTTATATATTAATGCATAATTTTTAGTGTAGTTAATTTTTGTATATTTATCATATTTTTATATTTCAGCCGCACGCAGTCACGTCAATCGAATGTGTTTGGCTGCTGGTGTACCTCTTATTGAAAGTGGAACTGCAGGTTACGTTGGTCAAGTAACTGTTTATAAGAAAGTAAGTTTTCATTTCAGTTAATTTTTTCCCAACTTTGTATCATATAGATCAAAACTGATAAAGGCCTGGGCCCATTATATTCTCACGTCGAAAATCTTTTTGTTGACCATAAATAAATTTTTTAGGTTGCATTTAAGATTTCCAATATCATGAAAAGCTTTCAAAAAGTAGTGACAAAATTACTTTAACCTTCATTTGTAATTCAGAGAAATAAGTCCTGCATGATAATCACATGAGTTATCAATTCAACTCGAACTTGAGATTTATTAAATTCTAAACTCAGTGATGCCACAGCCCATAGAGGGCCAAGGCCTACTGTGCCCATCTCAGTTTTCTGGGGTGCAGGAGCAGATGTTCCGGTCAGGTGGTCAGCCGAACGCGGAACCCCCAGTGTTGGTACTCATTTATCGACCCACTGAAATTTATCGAAAGGCTGCGTCAACCTTGCCCGGCCCGAGGATCGAGCCCAGGACGTGTGGCACGGGAGCGCGATGCGCTACCACTCAGTTACTGGACGACCTTGAGATTTATTACAGTCATATATATTCCAAAGTTAAATTATTGACTTGTGGTTGAAATGTCAAAATTGATTTACTGTTTTATTCTCTTATTGCATAAATTTTGTTGAAGATAACGTAAAATGTACACCGGAAATTCAATTTGACGTAACTTACAAGCAACGTAGAACTAAAAATTCCTGACGTAATTGATAGCATTAATAATTTTTTAATTCTAAAAAATGAAAAATTCTTCCATATTTCCTACAATAGAAAGAAAAGAAAATGTGTGCCATTTGCACATATTTATTAGGTGCTTATCTTTTATTGTTTTGAAATAAACATTTGAAATTTTTTTAAAGTTATGTTTAGTTATATGTTAGTGTATGATAATGTCTGTGTAAAAAAATTTTAATGTATTTAATTGCTTTTGAAAGATTCTATCATTGTATTTTTATTTAAACATATCATCCATTTGAGTTTTGTCCAAAATTAATTTATCTTTGGTAGCAGATTGAAGAAAAAAATGTTAAAACTAATAGAATTTTTATAACTACAACCATTTCTCAATATGACCTTCAATATATATGGGTTTAAATTATTTAGATGTAGTAGTATCATTTATATGTAGTGGTAAGAAATATTCTTTTATTTTTAATTCATTAAAATATTATAATTTAATGAATTATTAAAATATAAATATATTTAACGTGAAATAACTGATAACATTAGATAAAAATATATTCTAAGACTGCAGAAATTCTGTAGTATTTGTAGGGTGTGCTTTCATGATTATAATTATGATTTGATTTAAGTTGTTGACCTGGTAGCAGAATTTACATAGAAAATGTGCAGCACTACCTTCATAAATACAAATTTTTTTGCAGCTCCAATACAATCAGACCCATTATTTTAAAAATTAAGCTTAATCTAACATTTATTTAACAAATGGATTAGAAATAGATAATTATACTCAGGGATGAGATTTTTCCGCTTTTTTCACTTTTATCTCTTGAATTTTTTTTTATTTTTTTTATTTTCACTTTTTTTTATAAGTATTCCGCTACTATAAAGGTGACTGTTTTTCTAACGATGATTATTTAGCATATGTAAGTGTTACAACATCAGAGAAACTGGAAGGGAATATATATTAAAAACTTACATTCTGTGCTTGCAAACTATTCTGTGCTTGAATATATTCAAAACTTACATTCTGTGCTATATCCCAGTTTGTATTTCCTCATTTTCAAAATCGTATATCTAGTTTCATATTCATGTGATTTCAAAACCCATCATTGTTATTCATATTCACGCAATTTTTAAGATCAACTGTTGTGATTCTTGTAAGAAGCAAATTATTTTTTTTTAATTAGTTACTATAAAGGTGACTGTTTTTCTAACGACGATTATTTAGCATATGTAAGTGTTACAACATCAGAGAAACTGGAAGGGAATATATTCAAAACTTACATTCTGTGCTTGCAAAGAAGAAAAAATAAAGGACTTACATAATTTTTGCTGTTCTATNTATTGTGTAAAGTTGGTTTAGGCAGTTATTTAAAAAAAAAAATTATTGTTTCAAAGGGCTCTAGTTAGATTAGACTATAATATGAACATAATGATTCGGTCCATTGTTAAAGTTTTTTTTTCCAATATAATTTAAAAAGTAATATTACTGATATATTTGCTATAAATCACATAACAGTATTTATTAAAAGAAATGAAATATTAATTTATATCCTCAGTATTTTTAATTTGCAAAACCAGGTAGTTTTTCAAGTAGATATTGTCTCTTACGTGAACTGAGGAAAAATATAATTTCCAGCTTTATTTTTTCAATTGGTAATTTTATTTTCACTAAATGTTAAGTATCAATGTAATCGTTTTTATAATAATAGATTAGTACACAATTGAATGTCAAGACATTATTTATTACCTTAAACTGTCTGGAATTTATTATTAAAGGGTTGCGCTTGCATAAAATTTAATAACGTGGAAATTCAGCTTTTTTGCCTTTTGGCTAATCTCATCCCTGTATACTGAGCACAAAGATAAAAATATTTTTGAAAGCGAAAGTAGGAAAGAAAAATATTCATAAAAAAAATGAACTTGGAGGTGATAATATTGGAATAAAATCTCACGGTTATAAAAGGTGTTAATAAAATTGTATTTTATGGTGCTTTATTTAAAGTTTCTTATAAGACAAGTCATTACTATACTTATCGCAAGTACTTTGCGAATAAATAGAACTATAACCAGAATGAAGAACATGTAGTGGGTAGAATGAAGGGTTTAATGTTATAAGGGCAGAAAATAGATATTATTTAAAAGGTAGAATATTACTTTATAATGTTGATGATTGTACAAAAGCAGTTAAGTCATAATGTTATTTCGTAACTGCTTTTGCACAGTCTCTTATTCCTCGAAAGACTTTTCTGTAACAACCCAGATAATTTGTTTCTTGCTTGAAATATTGAACTCCTGTAATAATTCAACTTAGCATGTTTTGGTAACCGATTAAAATCATTTGACTAATTGTATAATTTATGTAATATATATACTCTAGTGGTCATCATTACTTTCAGGGTATTTCAGAATGTTTTGAGTGCTTACCAAGGAAGCCTCAAAAATCTTATCCTGGATGTACTATTAGGAATACACCGTCTGAACCTGTACATTGTATTGTATGGGCGAAACATCTTTTCAAGTAATTAAAATTTTCTATGTCGATTTTCCTTATTATTAAAATCTAGTTTTAAAGTTATATTGAGTTAGCTGCCTTGAAATTTATTTTGTTAATGTATACTATTCATTGTGGCAGTTTTAAATATGAATGTAACTAAAAAAAAAATTGTTTTATACCATATAGTAATATTCCATATACTTGTGTAATTTATGTTTGTATTAGGACCTGAAAAATCTCACAATTTTTTTGTGCCTTTCCAGGCATGTTATTCTATGAAATACATGCCTTAATGAACCTTTTTTACATGCAAGAGCAACTTTTTGTATTGCATATTAATGATAAGATTTAAATGTGTTAATTTGTGGAGAGAAAAGGACATGTAAGGCTAATACTGGTANTACATGCCTTAATGAACCTTTTTTTACATGCAAGAGCAACTTTTTGTATTGCATATTAATGATAAGATTTAAATGTGTTAATTTGTGGAGAGAAAAGGACATGTAAGGCTAATACTGGTATAAATCAAAACTATTAGGTACAGTCCAATCCCGTTTTAGAGCAGGGTTCTCACGGTCCTTGAGAGTACTTGAATTTTTTTTTGTGCTAAATTTAGGTTCTTGAAAGTGCTTGAAAAACGTCTTAGGTCCTTGAAAAACTTGATAGGTCCTTGAATTTGTCCAATACTGCCGGCGGCCCTTTTTATAAAACACCCGTTCTTTCTGCTTTGTTCCCGAACTCTCTCACGTGGTTTTTAACGCCACTGTTTCTAACCGGGCCTAGCGTCTTGGTGTCTGCCAAGTGCGCGGAGCACAGCAGACAATACGTTCGGGGCGAGACTCCACTTCATCTTCTGTCGCATATGCTTAGATCTTCTTTTTTCTTATCGAAACTGGAATACTCTCGAATTTCGTAACAATATGTACCTTGTAGTTTTCAATAAATTTGCCGTTTTACCATCCGCACTTGTCCTTACGTTTGCGTCATTTCAAAACTTTATTGTAAAGCGTATTCGCAAAGGCACGGCTTCGTATTTGTGTTATGTAGTTTAGACTAGTTATGCCTGGGAAGTGCTATTTTAATCCCCAATGGATGGATAATCAAGCTTATAAAGAATGGATTTTATCGATGCCCGAAAAGAAGTTCAGAGCCAAGTGCCGATTATGCATGAAGGAGATCGATATCGCGAAAATGGAAGAATCTGCTCTGAAATCACACATGAAAGAAAGGTAAAACAAAAAAGCAGTCTCATGCCCTGAGTTCTCTTTTTCCAAAGACATCAACATCTAATTCATCTGGTGTAAATACTCCTTCAACATCGTGTGCCCCATGTGAAACAGAAACTTTAGTGGCCGAGGTAACATTGTCTTCTTATCTGGTCAAAAGGAATGTGCTTGATGCTGAAATTCTCTGGAGTCTGAAGTGCATCACTAGTAATTATTCATGTAACTCCTGTGAAGGGATTAGTAAATTGTTCTCCAAAATGTTTGCTGATAGCTGTATAGCGAGACAATTTTTTTGTAGTGCCACAAAGTGAGCCTATTTGGGCTCCTTTGGATTGGCACTATACTTCAAAGGGATTCTTATAAATGAGCTGAAGAATGTTGATTGCTACACTGTACTCTTTGATGAGACGTTAAATCAGTCTCTACAATCTAAGCAGATGGACATTATGGTAAGGAATTGATAATAAAGTTTGCACTAAGTATCTTACCTCCCAATTTATGGGTCATGGAACTGCAGAAAATATTTTGTCCTCTTTTTACAAATGCATGGATGATGGTTAAAAGCTCTCTAAAATACTTCAATTATCCATGGATGGACCCTATGTCAATTGGAAATTCTATTAGAAGCTTCAGTGTGAATTAAAAGAGAAATATTCCCACCAGGTCATATTCATTGGCAGTTGTGGATTACACATAACGAATAATGCTTTTAAACATGGTGAAAATGGGATATGTTCCTTCTAATTTTTATTTTCAGAAAGAATTGTTGCTGCATAACATTTAGAGAAGGTTGTGTAAATTATGGATGAATAATTTCAGAAACGATGTTTAATAGAGGAGAGGAGGGGGTTATGGAATAGTCATGGAATATGGAATACCTAAGATTTAGCTCTGTCTTTCATGCAGCCTTCACATGGAAATACACAGGATTAAAGGATTTCACCATTAACACCTCATTACCATTAGTTATAGATTGTGCTGAAAATGATTTTGTGAATTAATATGTAAAACCAGTAGGGTTGTTTTTAAAAAAATATAAATTTTAGTCCATAATACATATACTCTCTTCTCTCTATATAGGCAAAGCATTTAGGTATTATATTTGAAATTAATTATTGCCACAACAAGCATTGTTGCTTCTAGTAAAATAGAAGAGAATAATTTTTAAAATTGGTCTTAGATTAAGGTCCTTGAAAATTTTGTTGAGGTCCTTGAAAAGTCATTGAATTTCAATCTCATCATAGAGTGGGAACCCTGTAGAGAAATCCGAAATAGCGAAAATTGCAATGTAACGAATTTTTTCCGAATCCCCAAATGAATCTCCATCAAAACAATGAATTAAAAATACCGATATTACGAAATTGGTAAAACCGATTTAACGAAGGTGGAAATAAGCAACAATTCTCATTTTCGCTCATGATCAAGACACTTTTCTGTTCTTCAAAAGTACACAATGACCTCCGAATTCAAATATTTTTCCTCATCTTCAAAAAAAAGTTTCTGATATGAAAGAGACATGTCAAAAAAGACGCGGAAGGGACCTGAAAAGACTAAACCTCATCCTATTCATGTTTGAAGAAGTAAAAATACATGTGGCTTTCCAAAAGAGTGATTTCCAGTTAAGCTTAGTTCGAAAATTTGCATAATTTTGGAGGAGTTTGTAATTTCTACTGGTTCTAAATCATTTGTGCAGAAAAAAAAATATGGATTACGTAATTTCTGATAAGTGAGTGATAATAAATCCATTGTGCATTTTAATTTAATTGTTTTTGATAGCTTTTAAAATATTGATTTGATATTTTCTACATGTAGAGTACAAATAGATCAAAACTGTCATTAAATGCAATATTTATCATTTTTTTATGCGAAAAATTACAATGTAACAAAACTATTTTGGTTAATGTAGAAATTCGTAATATCGGTATAACAAATTTTCGTTATTGAGTAGCGAATGCTTCGGTCCTTAGGAACTCGCTAAAACAAGATTCGACTGTATTATAAAATAAGAGATGTTATATTCTCTTTTTAAGAAAAATTCAAAATAGTATTGATTGAAGTAATGATATTAAAATAATTAGCAATTATTGGCATGTTCATGCTATTCCACATTTTACTCTAAAACGAGTCAACTTTTATGTTAATTACTTTTTTATGCATAGAATTTTTTTTAACAAAAAGGCTAGGGGGATAATATTTTTGATTTCCTTATTTGATTTATTTTTTATAATAGTTATTAATAACTGAATTATTCCACTGTTATAATAAGAACAGTATAATACAACCACCATTACTGTATATATACAACCACCATTACTGTACCACCAGACAAAGTATATATACAACCACCATTATTGAAACTCTTCCCTGTAACAACCAATAAATGAAGTCTTATTTGCTATTCTGTAGGTGCATTGTTATTTTAATTTCTCATTAAAACCTTCGATCTCTGTCATTCATTTCAATATAACAACTGAATTTTTTTTACCTCTCCAAAAATAGGTGTCCAAAAACAGGCGCTTGTAAAACAGACTTGTTGACAATAAATCAATGGACGACCATAGTCTCCATTAAATGAATCAAATTATCTTTTGATATTACCTCTCAATAAACCTGAAATTCTCTATGAATAAAGGAGTAAAGTTTTTAATATGATTTTATCAAATTTTAAATTGCTAAAAGCTGTACTGTTTCAAATTAGTAATCAATGTATCAAAGTGTTTAAAGTTTTTTTTTTTAAAATTATAGTCAGCTCTTTGGAGAATCAGATGCAGATGAAGAAGTATCTCCCGATATGGCTGATCCTGAATTAGGTAGGATTTCTTAGGTTTTTTTTTTAAAGTTTTGATTTATTCTTCCTAGTTCAGTTTGACTTAAGACTGTTCATGCCTGAATTGCAGGAATGAAAATGCAGGTTGCTCAAGGCATCTTGCATGTTAGCCATTTACTTAATTTAGTGTATACTTTTTTTTTTTTTTACAGGTACAGCTCCACAAATAGACGGAAATGTCCATCGCGTTTCAACTAGGGAATGGGCAAAAGAATCTAATTATGATCCAATTATGATTTTCAAGAAGGTAAGACAAGTCATGTTATTCAATTCGGATGCTAAATAGTTCTTGGAACAGTTATGCTACATAACTGCTAATTGTAATTTTATGAATTACAACTAGCAGTACAGTAGTGTAACTTGAAAAACTTCACTGATCTTTTTTTCTTTTACCTAAATATCCTTTTTTTTTTTTAAAAAAAAATTTAATATTAGTTTCACCATTATAAACTAATGTAAGTGTAAGTTTTTAATTTTTTGTTGGATTTGATTATAACATTCACGTTCTTATATAATGAGGACTTATTAACTGAATGAGTATATATAGCGAGTATATACTAATGCTTATATTTAGAAAAGTAGAACATATTGACCTTTTCAGCTCCCATCTACTTAAATCTTAGTAATTATGAATTTTTGTAAGTTTTTATTTTAAATTATGTTTAGACGATTGTTTTTAATTTAACAAAATTTGAAAATTACAAAAGATTATTGGTTTTGGCTATATAGTTAGTAAAAAAATAATGAACAACCTGAAAATTATTTATGAACAACTTTTGTTCTAATAATCTGATTTTCATGTACCAAGACTCAATCTTAATGGTTCAATGACCTAACTTTAATGCTAATAAATTAGTGCAAGCAATGGTTTAAATTAATCAGACACCAAAACATACTTACTCTGAATAGTTGTATATTTTATTTGTGAAATCTTGCTTTTAAAAAGTAAATTAAGTAAAAAATCTTCCAAAAATTACTTTTTTATCTACTGCATCTAATATTGTACTAGTAGAACCTCTGCTGTCTAAACCTCTTTTATTTGAATGGTTCAATTGACCAGGGTCGATTCTGAAAGTCCCCCCCCTTCTAGATTTAATTATGCAGGCATAATACGACTATGTATGAGACTTTCAAAATAAGGAGCACATTTTGTCTTGCACGACTGCATAAAATTATGTTACCGATGAATATGTTGGTTGCTTTGAGTTGCCAAACAAATCCGAAATTTGTAATTTTTGTTGCTTCATCCATCTTGTTATTTTAACTATTCCACATAGTTTACTTGACTATCATGTCTTTAATTTCTGTTAATAAGAAAATATCTTTGTAAAAAAAATAACATTATAATGCAAATAAAATTTAAAGAGCCTTATATTTTTGCAAAGGAATATAAATAAATGAAATCATTGAACAATACATGATTAGATGGTGCTTTATTCAAAAGATTTCTTCCAAAAAAAAAAAATAGCTCAAACTGAAGCAATAGTTTAGTTGAATTTTAAAACAAAATACTTGTATATCTATTTGACAAAGACATTTTTTAAATTGCAATGTTAAAGTTAAATACTTTATGGCACTAAAATTTTGAAGAAGAATTGATTTTCCTTTTATTTAGGAAAATAGATTTTTAAAAAAATCTTATTTCTAGACAGGGTTGGGTTTTTGACGTCAAAAAGTGGTTTTTGACATGACAAGGGTATAATACTGGTTTAAACTGTCAAAAACTGAAGTTTGCCAAGAAAATATATAAACTTCAAAACTACCAACAGTTGCCATGCATTATATTGAAATTTAATTATACTATAGGTAATCAGCAGGTTTTAAAATATTTTTTAATTAAAATTAAGGTAAAATAACAGATTTAAAATCTCAGAAATTTATATTCAAATGCATGTGCAGAAAAATTTTGCACAAAAATTGTTTAAATATTTATATTTAAAAATTTTTTTTTTCTTTTTGATACTTAAGAAAATTAAAAGTTTATTACTATGCATTTTTGACATATAAGGAACATATAACTAATATTTATAAGGAACTTACAAGTTATGTTGTATAAATACAAACTTGATATAAGATACAAGTGTATAAAAATTTTTTTTTAATGTTATACCGAATATCTTTATTATCCAGTATGTTAATTTGAATTTAAAAGTAGTTATATTTATGAATAATGATAAATATAATTCATATTGTTTATTATATTTATTTATAATTATTACACTTATCATTTTAAAACAATTTTTATCTCTTAATTTTTTTTTCTCCACTTGTATTAAGAATACAAATAATGCATATCTTGAAAGCAAGAAGTAATTATTCAACAGCTGAATATTTAGATATTCAACAAAACTATATAGTATTCAGCAAAATGAAATTCACAAGTATTTGGATAAACTAAATTTTCAGCATAGTAAATGAATAGGCTGAATATACTGTAAATCGACACTAACTACTCTGTGTATTTAACAGAAAGCACTTAAATTTGTATTGTCTTATGTTAACTATGAATTTAAAAAAATTGAAGATTTAAAATTCAGAATTACTGATTTTTCTGAAAAACTAACAACCAATCACAAAAGTCAAACTAAGCAGAAGAACATTACAGTCACTGATCCATTAAATATTTAAACAAATTATTATGGAAATTTTTTAATTATCCTAATTAAATACATAATTTTAAAAATTAGAACATGCATCACACTACATAATGAAAATGATGGCAGTAGAAATTTAATTCAAAATTCAATAGTCTAGTTCAGGGGTGGCGAACCTTTATACACCAACGTGCCATTTTTTCTAAAAGAATTTTTAATGAAGTCACAGACGTGCCGTCAAATAATTTTGACTTCATGATTATTGGGAAAATAATAATACTAGATACTATCAACTCAAAACTCTTTATTTACATTGAAAAAAAATTTTTTTTTTCAATGTCTCAGTTATAGGCGTAATTCAACTTAAAGCAACATCAATGGGTCTTCCGTTGTAGCAGATTAGATGACAAATAACTTATATTAGGTTGTAAGATATTAGTTTAAGCAGGACTGTTGATTTTTTTTGCTAATTATTTATTGTTAGCCTGTTTTTTATGGTTATTAATTGTTTTTTAGCATTAATTGTTAATTTTTTATTAATAATTGCTTATTATTTTGTTTGCTTTTTGTGAATTTTAATTTAATTGTTACATATGCTTCATAGTGTAATAACATTTGAGTAAAAATTCATAGTGCAATAACAATTGTGATCGGTGACGTGCCCAAAATATTGTGTCGCGTGCCATTGCTTCGCCATCCCTGGTCTAGTTCATTTGCTCTTCGCAGCATACGGTAGCACATAACTAGTTTTTAACATTTTTCTGTTCCTAATCTATTACGGAGTTTCGAACGAATTAGTCCAAAACTGGAAAACATCTGTTCTATTGAAGCAGAACTGGCAGGGCATGATAAAAGTTGTATGGCTAATTCTACAAATTCGGAAGCTGGACCAGACTTAAAAGATTCACATTTGCTTATAGCCTTCCACCATGTTACTGGTTCCATATTTTTCATACTTGGTAAAAAATAAGAACATGGAAATGGTGATGCTTCACCTTCAAATGCTATTACAAATGATAAACAACCCACAATTTTTTTTTCAAACCAAATACGAGCACCTTCACTTTGTGTATCTGACAAACCTTCTCCCTTATACATTGGATGTAACATATAGGACAAAAAATAAAAGGGCTTAAGTATTTCCTTCATTCTCTTCTGAATTACAGAAATATGTGGTTGCAAGGAAACGTCCTTTATTAGAGACAGCCATATTGAACATGCATCAGCAAGCGAAGAATTATCCTTTTGTGAGGTTTCTAGACCAATAGCAACTGGCTGAAACATCGAGAACAGATCCTTTCATTGCTTAAACAAATTGTAGTCATTTACCAATCTACAAATGTCAGCATCAACTTTCTCTTCATATTTTTCTGCAATCTGTAAAGTAAAATGGTATATTCTTTAAAAAAGTATTAATGCATGTAAGTTGACTGTTCCACCTTGTGTCTCCAGGTAATTGAGGTTTTAAAAATTCAGGGAATTCTTTAAGCAAACCTGCTGGAAAGTGGCAATTTCAGAAGTACTTTTGAATCTTTACGACTTGTTTCATTATTGTTTCTGGAGTAAGAGCTTGTCCAACTAAATTCAACCAGTGAGCTGAACATCCATACAACAGTAACTCATTTTCATTATCTGCCAAAAGTTCTCTTGTCTTTTCCATAACTTTTGAACATATTTAGAAACACTATCCTTTATAAAAAAAATATATAAATTTTATGTATTAATTAAATTTCACATATGAATATAGGTTTTTGACATTTTTGACAGTGAGGTTTTTGACGTGACGGTTTAAACTATGGTTTAAACCGTCAAAAGCTGTCACATGTCAAAAACCTGCCAACCCTGTTTCTAGAAGTTGAATATTTCAGTTATTTGAAATGGGTACAGTCTCAATTACAACAGTAGCAGAATTTGCTGATGCTGTGATAATCTGCAGTGACTGTTACCAGGCCAATTACTTTGCATAATAGAGGTTTTACTGTATTTGTATTTTGAGATTACCTGTGCATACTGAAATCATGATTGTTCAGTTTGTTTTGACAATAGCTCATGTTAAATGAAGATTTTTTTTCCTCGTTAAATCATATTTTGTTCATTTTTTTCTATCGAAAAAAAAACATAATTAACCTATAATTACCAAGTTCAAAAATTTTTTTTTGGGGGGGGGGGTTTACTACCTGCTTGATATTTTATAAAAAATTGCCTATCTTTTTTTTTTTTTTTATTGAGAAAATTTTGTATTGCAGCTTTTTGGACAGGATATTGACTACTTAAATAGCATGGATAATCTATGGAAAGAAAGAAAAAGACCACAACGTTTGGAATATGATAATTTACCTGATGCTGGTATATTCCTTTTTTTATTAAATTTCATTTTATTGTTGATAAACTCAAGCAAACGATTTACACAAATTGCTTCACCAGAAGATGTAATTTTTCCACTACAAAATATTTTGCTAGTCATTTTCAGTCTTTTTAATCATCCCAATGTTTCCCCTTAATTATATAAATTAAATTCTCAATGCTGGTCTTTTTTTTTTTAACCAAAAATCTTTGTTTGTAGATTTTTGTCAATTTTCAGCATAACATACATTTTCAGTAATAGAAAAAAAAATAAATGGGACATCAAAATTTATATTTAGTAATGTTCTTCTTAGCCTCCAGTTTAATTATGATTTATCCAATCAATTAATATAAAATATTTTTAGGGATTCTTTTCTTTTTAAGAAGCTTGTGTTTTTTTTTTTTTTTTTTTTAAGTCCCCAAAAACAGATAAGAAGGAAAAATAAAACATTTGTTAAACTTTAGGGTCATTCTTACTACATCAATCAACTTGATTACATTGAACCAACCTTAATTTAGGTTTTCAATTCAAAAGAGTATATGGAATTGAGAAACTAATTAGTGTAATATATTCATATTAACCTATTCAAATGAAGTGTAAATTGGATCTGGGGACTCTTATTATTTATATAAAACCTTTATATGTGCTATTGTATTAAAATGTAACTAATAATTGTTCTTGTACATATCTTTTGTCCTTAATTTAAGTATATTTTGGGTAAAAAAAACTTTCATTTTCTCCAGATTTATTTAATTTTCCTGATTTATTTATTCAACTAATTTAATTATGATCTTAGTTGCTAGCTCGAGTAAAATGGAAGAGGCCCAAATAAAAGATCAAATGGTTTGGAGCATTAAGCAATGTGGAGAAATGTTTTGCAAGAGCTTAACAGCGTTGAAAGATAAATTAGAAGCATCTGGTACTGATAATATTTTGATTTGGGATAAGGTATTTTATGTCATATGAATTTCATATTCTTTCTTTTTTTAAGTTTACAACTTGAACAGCCTCACTAATTTTTTTTTGCAGGATGATGATGATAGCATGGATTTCATTGCATCATGTGCTAATTTACGTTCCTATTGCTTTAGCATACCTCAGAAAAGCAGGTTCGATGTGAAAGGTAAATTGTGTTTAATTGTGCATTTTGTATGTTCATTCTTTTAAGTGTTGGCGTAAACTAAAATTGCAATCTTTATAGCTATTGCTGGAAACATTATCCCCGCTATTGCAACTACAAATGCAGTTATTGGAGGCTTGATTGTTCTACAAATTATTAAAGTCTTGAAAGGAGATTTTACAAAATGTAAAAATGTAAGTTGCAAATGTTTTCTTTGGAAGCGATTTCTGTATTCTCTAAATTTATGTTTCGTCATTAGGTGTATGTATATATTTATTGAATTCATCCTAACATATACAATGTATTATTGATCTTTTAAAAATAGTATAATACACATTTTGTTTCTATCCAGTGTTGGAAATCTTGCCTTGAAAGGTATTGACATATTACAGAGAATTGCCCTTTATTTTTTGGTGGATTATTTTTTCCTTTTTAAAACATACCTATCCAGGATTTTCAGTGATTCCACTTAAGCTCTATAGCATATCAAATACACCAAAAATCGCAAAGGGTATGTGAATAATAAGTTATGATGCTTCACCTGAGACATGTAATTTCCCAGAGTGTGTGTGGGGGGGGGGAAAGGATACCAGCAAATTAATGTAAGCAAAATTAAAACCAAATTTTAAATGTATCTAAAAAAAGTTCTTTTCCTTTGTTATTAACATCTGAGGATGAAAATTTAAAAATTCTGAGTATTGAATTAAATTGTTATTTTTCCTTGATGCATGTATTTGTAACTTTTAATAAACTGCTACTATCTTTATTAATAACTGATAATTTTTTTGTGCTAACTAAATCTGTGAAAAATGAAATTATGATTAAATAACAAAGTTTATGATACATTCTTTAGCAAAGAATGTTAACAACAGCAGCTGGTGATAAAACAGCTCATGCAACTTGTACATTTATATTGCATGTCAGTTAATAATAATAGTTCTGCTCTAAACATAAATTTATTCTGCTTTGTTCACCACAGTTATGAACACTTATTGCTTGGGGAAATAATTCTAAGAACAGTTACAATTATTGTTTAAATATTTAAATTTAATGCAGTTTAAATGTCAACTCAAATCAGAATAAAGTTTAACATTCTTGTAAATTTCTTGCCTCAAAATAACCATTCTTTTAGTTTGGGAATGCTGATCATCAGACCCAGTAATTTATTTTTTTTTTTAGAAAAGAAAATGATTAATTTTTAATTGCATTACTTAATTGTAGGGATTGGTTTACCGTAATTTAGCAATCTTTTATTTTTTCTAGAAAACTAAAAATTCATTTTGTTACATTTTAAATATGTGCTGTAGCAAAAGTGTCTAAAATTTTGTAAAAACTTATCTGAAAAGATTTCTTTATTTTTTTCTCTATGATTAAATAGGGGACCACTCCCCCTTTTTCTGTTATAAAATTAATTTTTATAAAAGTCTTCACTATTCACAGAATAAATTTTAAGACTTAATCTTTCTAGGCATGGCTCAAGGAATCTGGTATTGGCGGAAAAATTTTGCCCTCTTCTCAGTTGGAAAAACCTAATCCTAATTGTCTGGTGTGCTCTTCGAAAACACCCGAAGTAAGATTTTTTTTTTTTTAATGTTTGATTTATTTTTCATTACCTTTCTTATCATACTAAATTATATCATATAATAAGCTGAAAAAACTATTGTCAAATCACTTTCTGTGTTGTAAATGATATTTCGAACAATAAATTTCTTAGGAAATAAAAGAAAAAGCAAAAAACTATTCTGCTGCACCCATAAAATTTGACTAAAAAGGAAAAGTTTTTCATCAGAAAGACTGCATTATCAAATATGTGCACAAAATTTTACGTGAATGATCACAGAGTTAACACATCTGTTTCAAAAAACAAGTTACATACAAAGTAAACTAATAAGCGTTTGAAAATTAAAATAAATATTTTACGATAAATAATTATGTGTGATCTTACTTAAAATCAAAATTTATGTATTTCGATAATTTTAATCTTCACTTTTTATTTGTGCGCAATTCAAATGCAACGCAAACGTTACATTAATGAATGCCAATTTAAAATATTCAAATTATGTGTAAACAAAGTGATTAAGAACCTAAATGTAATAAAAATAAGTTATCAAAATACAGAGGAAAAGAATCTTACTAGGCACAAAATTGTACCATATATAACAATCTCGATCGCATCATTTCGCTTTATCATAATTTGATTTGAAATACCTAAATGTTTTTAAATTAAAGATTTAAATGCTAAAAGTCCTTACAATTATTCAAAAATAATATTTAAATAAAACGAAATAAGCCTTTTTTAGCTCAAAATTGTAATACGCAAAACATTTATGTATGCATCTCGTTTCTTTTTACTAATATTAAATTTCTGAAATTTTAAGCTAGAAAATGATAAACAGATGATAAGATACTCAATCATCTCTAAATTTCGCAATCATATATTTCCGAGTCTCAGATATATACAATATAAATACAAGTAAAAATAAGGAAGTTGACCTTCAGCTAAAACTGAGAATAAACTTGACCTTCAAGACACATCTTTTAAGCATTTCACTCCAATAATTTGTTTATGACTTGCATATTTTTCTTTCACTCTGTTTTTTTCTTCATACCAGCAGCAGAAGAAATGGGATCGTACTGCCATTAATTCTTGTAAGAGACTATTCGCGGGGTGGAAATTCGTACACACCTTGTTTGGGTGAAAGGGAGATCGTCGGTTGCAATATTGTTGCATTCTTGCAAACTGTTTTTCAGCTGAATTATAACTCTTTAAATTAATATTGATTGTAAATTATAAAATAAATCACTTCAAAAGATGAATAGTAATAATGAAATTTTGGAGAATCAAGTCAACAAAATAGTGGTAAAAAAAAATGATAAACTGATAGGATGTCCCATTAGATAACCTGCACATATTAAAATTTAATGTTTTAAATCATAAACGTTATGGCATATCTCTGCGAAATTACGGTAATTGTCTTGTGTATGCATATTGTCCTATTTTATGAAATTGTGAGCAGAGTGGTAGCCTATTGCTGCAGGGATACCTTTGAAGTAGACTTCGTGGCAGAATCACAGCGACATTGTTGCAGAGTTCTTGCAAAAGTTTTCTTTTCTACAGAAATTTGCACATAAAACTTGATTTATACATTAAGATAATCACTTTTTGGCACTCTCAATTTACGCCGATAGACATATCGTACATAGATATAGTGTTTTGATTGTATTTTTGGCAATTATTTGTATACATTTTCACATGGTTTTTAAATATCCTGATATATTTCAAACAATATGGGGAATTCGAATCTTGCATTCGTGTATTTACTTTTTAAGGCCACGATTTTTTGACTGTTATTGCTATTGATTTCTCCCTAGATTTTAAATCTGATATTTTTCGTAGATTATTATTTATTACAACAACTCAAAATGAAACACGCAATTAAGTAATCCCTTTTTGAGGAGTCCGATTCGTGTGATTTCGTCTATTTTTTTCTGGCAATTACTACTACGCATTTCAGGATCATTTATTTTTTATTTTGATTATATACAAAATGTGAGAATATCAACCATAATGTTAGAAACAAAATTATTGCATGTTTAATTTTTAAAAAAAATTTATAGTGTTTTTTGTTTTGTAAACACGGCGCTTTTGTTATTTTGAATTAGTAACATATGTTTGTTATTAATAAAAATATCTTGCGGAAAGATATTATTGCTAAAGTTTTGTCACTGATAGCTCAAAAAAATTCTGCCACAGGGAAAGTAGATCTGCCATATTTTTTATTTATGGAACATATATTTGGCAATAAAGAAAGTTTATCTTCATCTTAAAAGTAAATCTTGAATTAAGTAGGTCTTGTGCAAAAACTGGTTGGCAATAAAAACAAATCGCCCAGAAAGAAAAAGGTGCTGCAGAATGAAAACATTAGTTCTACTTTATTTTCTGTTTAATGTCTCTAGAATGTTTTTCGTTAGTCTCCCGTCATAACTACTTACCAATATTGATAGTTTCATTTACATAGTCTTGTATAAAATATTATTTGAATGAAACTGTTGTATATCTTTCGTTTATTTTAATTTAGGTTATTGTAAAGTTAAATGTGGAAACTCTCACCATTCGTACTTTGAATGACAAGGTAAATATGTGCTGGTCTTTGTAATAATCACATTTATTGTTATTCAAAATTCATCTTTTTGCTGAAATAAGTTTAGGAGATTGAAACAGATTAATATTACAAAAAGTGGCTATACTATCCAAATTAAACAGGTTGTTATAATGTGAAGTGGCTATATTGTACATGTATAGTGCACCACAAAACTACCCTAAATAAATTTTGATCTAATGATTGAATATTCACATAATGTTTCGACTCAATCTTAATGTTTCATGAGAGTGACTTCAAATATGCTAATTATATAATGCAGATAATATTTTAAGTTACAAAATCAGACACAAACCATACTTCCTCTGAATAGACAAACCTTTTTTCAACTGAATTCAGATTTCTGACCCTCAAAGTATAATGTGTAGCTGCAATCTAGGAAATAAGATCCCAATACTTTGGTCAAGAGAGCAATCCAAAGTTTCGACTCTTTGATTTTTTTTTTTTTTTTTGAGNTTTTTTTTTTTTTTTTTGGTGTGTCCATATTTTGCCACATCTTTTTAATCAAATTAAAAAGCATGAAATTAGTTTATCCAAAGATATTTAAAATAGTTTTTTGAGCAATTTACTTTCACCTTTACTCTTTTTAAATTATTATAATTGTATCCTCAAAAGCAATCAGTGAGAAAGTAAAATTTCTTTCGAAAAAATAAACACAAAGAACAAAGGATTTAATTTAAACACATTTATTTGCAACAATTTCCAGTCAGAACAGTCTTCAAGTGATGTTTCTGAAGTCGTGTGAATACAAATCGAAATGTAAATGTTTGGTTTTGAAATCGCAGATTATGGTTCACTGTATTTGTTTTTAAAATCTGTTTATACAAATCACACTATTTGATTTTAGAAATGCTTGAAGTTTGATTGTGATATTTAATTTTAAATCGTATATGCGAAACGTAAAAATTCTTGTGTGTGTATTCAGCATAGTATTATCTAACTTTGGATTAAGAGCTTATTTGGTTTTGATGTCTGTCCAATAATAGGGTGAATTTATGGTTTTTAAAACTTGTTTGTATTTTTTAGTTATATAGTTTCTTTGTTTTTTTTAAATTCGTTAATTTATTTAGGTTTTGAAAGAAAAATTACTCATGGCACAACCAGATGTTGTAATAAATGATGGATCAGGTAATTTATTTTACAAATCTTTGCATATTGTTAAGTTATTATTTTTTTTTCTTCAAATTCCAATACCGAATGCAATAAATAAAATTAATATTGTATGGAATTTGTAATTTTACTAAACAATATATAATGCTCACAAGGATTTTCACTTTTTATTAAAGATAAGTGATGAATATAACAAAGATCCTATAATCCCGTTTTGAATACTAATGAAAGAGATTTCATTATAAAAATGCTTTTTATAATTTAAGGAAAGATTGACAAAGCCCACTAATTTCAAATTATACCTGAATTTCATTTTGGCAGTNTTTTTTTTTTTTTTTCAATATCCTAATGAATTTATTTTCTTTCTGATGTGGTAATTTTTATTTTTAATATCGTTTCTTTTTTAGGAAAAATTCTTATTTCGAGTGATCCAGAAGATATGGAAGGTATTATTTCTACTACTGTCTTTAAATTTAATAATCTTGTTGCAATCTAAAAATTTTATGTTTCAATAGATATATATTTTAAATTTTCAAAACAAATAAGTGAGACTATTTATGGACAAATCTTTCAATATGGACTTTTCAATGAACAACCTGACACACAATGTGTGAACTGCTGAAATCAGTAATGTATTTAAAGCTGCGTTGTTGGAGGAATGATTTTAGAAGTAAAATTAGTAGTTTATTATTGCAAGAAAAAAAAAATTTCAAATGATACTTAAGTACCTTTTTCATTGAGAATATAAATTCTAATAAAATATTATACATAAGTAAATAACCAACATAGTACATTATGTTTTTTTTTTTTTAAATTTTGTTTCATCATTTATTCTGTAGTTTTTGAGCAGTATGTTTTACAAATTCTTACAAGTAGTTAATTGTGTTTAATTATCGAAAAATTACCAAAATACGTTTAGTATTTTAATTAAACTTTATACTGTAATTTCTATTTTGTATACATTTCTATAAACGTGAATACATTTTGACACTTATCACATATACATTTCTTGGATAGATTAAATAATTTCAAATTCTTTATCTGTCTTAAATTTATTAAACACCTTTTTACTAACTTATTTATTTTACCTTTTATTCTTTTATAATAAAAAGTATTATCAAACTAATTTTATAAAAAAGCTATATCAAGGATCCAATTGAATATGTTCGATTCATGAATGCCATTTATTACGGTTTCTCTAATAAATGGCGTAAAGTAATAAATGAATTAAAATTCTTATAAAATTTTAAAGTATAATTTCTAGTTTTAATCTTGCAATTATAGACCATATATTCTAAACTATTTTTTTTTTTAAATTTATATTTTCCATTAAAAATGAATTATTTTTATTAGATGCTATGCTGGATAAAGTCCTGTCAGATTTTGGTCTTGCTCCCTCTAGTAGATTACAATGTGAAGACTTTCTGCAGCATTATAATGTTCTTCTCATTTTAGCTTCAGAGTAAGTTTTGCACCTTCAGTTAATTAAACTTAGCTGCAAAAGGTTTTTCGAATAATATGTGTTATTTATTTTTTGTGATTTTTAAGCCTTTTTGTCATAAGATTGCAAATTCCCTTTCCATATGCTTGCATAAGATTTATTTATAGCAATGATAAACTAAATATGAGAATTTATGTCTATATAGTTCTAGTAAGTTTCAAAATCATAACTTCTATAGAAATTTTTTATTTTTGCCATTCACTGATGTTTTATTGTAAAAGGTAACAAGCAGGTAAACTAATTGTGATCTGGAAACACTAAAACTTGAAAGAAGAAATTTTTTACCACAGAAAGTAGTTAAAACCTTAAGGTATTTTTAAAGTGTTTTTTTATTATTATTAATTTAATTACTTATCAAATTTATATTTTTTTGACAATTAAAATATAATTAAGGACTTACGTAGATTCCTATTCCGCTTTGTCGGCAAAAGTAAGCAGATAGAAAATCTCCCCCTTGGTACTTAAGTAACATATCAACAGTGATCAGCACTTTCTTCTATTTGTTTATACAATTCAGTCCTTTTAATCTAAGAAGTATCAAGAATCAGGCTGACGTACCTTTATTTTTTTCACTTTGAAAAAAATATTTTTTTAAGAAATTGTTTCTTAGATAGTTAAATTAATAATAAAGATCTTCTGGTTATCTTTTAATTCATTATTTATTTAAAATTTGTAAAAATTGATCAAATTAAAGCTAATAAGCTTTTTTTATGAATTTACGTATTTTAAAATCAGTCAAAATGTTTATTAAACTCCAAGAAGATTATTGAGAAATGCATATAATGTAAGATAACATTACATAGAAAATAAGATACAATAAGGAATATTTATACCATTTTGCAAGGCAGGTCTATTAAATCATATGTTTCCTTAATAATATATAGAAAAAACCTAGAACTACACCAATTTTTTCCATTTGTAAAAACTCAAAAAGTTAACATTAGTTTTTAGACTTATTTAAATAAAAGTTTAGGGTGATTTAATCATGGAAAGTGGGAGTAAGTGATATTCTTTTGTTTATAAAGAAATTGTATGTTTATGTTGTTAATGTTATTGTATTTTATTCTGTTGGAGAGCAACATTTTTATGGAAAATAATATTTGATAAATAGTGAACACAAAATAGGTAGACTATTCTCAACAGAGCAAAGAAAAGACACACTTTTTTGGGGGGTCAGGGTGGGAATGAAAGGAGATTTATTTTAAAAGTTATTTTTCTTAATTTGTTTGAACCTAACATACTTCCTTTTTTTTAGCCCAGATCTCAAAGATCAGGAATTTGAAATCGAAACAAATGTAGATGACCTTTTACAGCAGCAAAAAGAAGCTGGAGAGAGTACAAAGGAAGAAAAGAAAACTGAAACTCATACAGAAGAGATAAATGAAACAAATGAAAAGAATGATATGGGTAACATTATCCTTAATTATTAACATTAATCTTTAATTATCCTTCGTCTGTATCACCAAACCTCCAGAAGTTTTTAAACGCCTTGGGAAGATTACTTCCCATCTACATGATCTTACAAAATGCATTAGTAGGAAATGCAAAACTCTTATTTTTACCTTGCTACTTTAACAATGAGAACACTTATTCCTGCTCTGTTTTGTGGTGCCATCTATTGTTCATTCGATCACATAGAATTAGCATGTTTGTTTTTCCAGTGTCATACATTATGTGCCAAACATGGTTTGCAATTGTAGACAATGAAGGAATTATAGCACAAAGGATCTTTTCACAACAAAATAATCACCATTAAAATTTAATTTTTCTTATCACCGTAATTGGTTCCTTTATAACTACACTTCCCACTTTGGAAGTTTAAATGTGTACGCAGAATTCAGGAAAATAAAATGTATTTTCTTAAATGCTATTGTTTTATTAAACGGCCTACAAAAGGATTAAATTATCACTTGAAAAACTTAATAAATTTTCATTTTGATGTAAATTTAAAGTTTTTTCTTTTTTTTAAAGTATGAAAGTCTTGTAAACCACAAAATAATGACAATAAAGTTTAAATAATAAAATTTTGTTAGTTTGGCTTTGCTTCGTCTGAGATGCAGAATAGAAGGTTATATTTCAAAAGTACACTAAGAATCAGAAACATGTAATTATAAAATGTATGCTTAAGAACTGCTAGTATTGATAATATAAGTAAAGGTCAAGTTGAGCTTTGGTCTTCTTCAAAATTTGATTCCATTCTACCTTATCTTTGACTCTCCATATAGTTATTATCCAATGTTTTTTTTTTAAATCACATTTGAGACTGTCCAACCACCTGAGTTTAGGTGTGTCTAGATTTTTTTGCAAATTTTGTCGAGATTTTTCTCTCAGAAATTGCCAGGGTTTCTCTCTCTATGTCAGTTTCTGCACCATAAGTTAAAGTAGATCTAATTAAACATTTGTAAATTGTTATCATAGTTGTTCTTTTAAGAAGTTTGGCCATATATATTTCTTTAACCCAAATGAGCATTGCTTTACAGAAGTAATCTTACTCTATTTGTTAATTACTGATATTTACTATTAGTACTTAAAAACTATTCTTGAACCACATTCCAACTAGCCCCATAATTATATTCCTTTGTTCAGTTACGGACATATGTATAGTCATATATATAGTCATGTATATATTATATATACATGTGGTTAAGAAGGTTCCATACGTATTAATTTTTTAAAAAATTTCCTTTTGTAATTGAAAAGCATTCTACTAATGTTCATGTTTATTTTTAACTCTTGAGTATTTAGATAAAAATGTGTTTTCAATTTAAGATAATCAGAATATTCAGTTGTTTTTTTTTAAAACTATTAAGCTTTGGAAAAACAATTGTGATTATAACCAGGAATTTCATGTTCAATGGTTTTTAGTTGCTTCTGTTTTTGTTTTAGAAATTGTGGAAGAAGATGATTTGGAAATTATTGAACCAGAAGAAATCCAAACTCTGTATAAGAAATCTATTTCAGATTCAAAGCGAAAGCTTAGCGATGATGAAAATGGTTTTGAGCTTAATCATAGCAAGAGAAAAAAGATTGAAGATATCTGAAAAATGTGTTAATTGTAAATGTTATTAACTGTGTATATCCTTTTCATATCATTTTCTCATTGTGTGAAAAAAAAAAAACATTTTTTTACAATTTATATTGGTAAAGTGAAAACCATCATTATTTTTTTTTTTTAACATCATTATTGTCTTTAAAGTTTTTCATTAAAATGTTTCAAAATATTGCTGTGTTGTTTTAATATTTAAAATAATATAAACATCCATAAAACTGAGTGTTATAACCTTTCTTGAAATGAAAAAAAAGAAGGTAAGAATTGCACAGTTGTGAGACATACATATTTTTAAGTTTTATAATCTTTTATTTAAACTTAATGTAACTTAAATATTTAATTATAAATCAGTATAAAAATCAAAAAATTTTTGAATGATTTCAACTACAACTATTTTCACTTTTCATTTCCTCAGGCTATGTTCATTCTTCTGTGAAAAATGTTATCAACCTTTATATTCCTTACCTGCTAACTATGTTACAATTATCATTTAATATTTTTGTACTTAAATGGCCAATTTTAAAAAAAATAATAACTTCAGGAAATTTTAAAGATGAACTTCTTTATTTACCAATTAAATAATGGCTATTTGTCATGAAATGAAACATTTACTGAACTGAAAGTTGTAAGATTTAGGTATTTTTTAAATTACCATGGGATCCTCCTCCTTCAAAAATAAAGTACTACTAATATAAATTATCCTAATACTTACCCAGGTCCCAAAAGAGATTGACACAATCTTCAAACGTTAGCTACTCTGGCTTCATTCACAATGATAAGAATGATTTATATTGTTGTGAACAAGAATTTATATACATCTTGGCTACTTGTTAAGCTAGTAATGTGTAAAGGTGTCCCTAACCAGGATAATATAGTATTGTAAAAGAAAATTCCAACCTTGCACAATAAAAATGGTATACAAAAAAACTTCCTTATAACAACCATTCATAATAGTGAATGAAATTATTGTTATATGGAGCTTCTTGTTATAAGCTGACATACATATTTAATGTTAAGATAATTATAAAAAAGGTTCTAAATTTATCGATATCTCTGTTACTTTTATTTTGAACAATTATTTCGATTTAAAGTTAACTGCTTTACTTGGTACTTTTTGAAGGAACTGTCTACAATGAGATAAGAATGTCTGAACAAGTTTTTGCAAGATTGAAATGAAATATGGTGTTTGAAATTTGTCATTGATAACAGTGAATGTAGATTTTAATAGTAAGTTGTGAAGACTGGAATTAAAGGGGCAGTGGATTGATATATGACTACACATTGTTTTTTAAAAATAAGGGGTATATTAGTAAGAAGGAAAATTTCTTCATTTTCTCAAATGATACAAGAAATAAAAATATCTTCAATTTAAACCTTTTATTATATAATGCTGAATAACCTTAACTGTTAATAAACTTTTTTTGTATAATGTGTTCTCATAAAAGAAAATTTTAGTAGAAGGCTAGTAATTAATCATAAACATACAATTTTTTATTATTAAAAATTTTAATATTGACATTTTGATGGTGAGTTAGAAATTTGTTGTAATAGCAGACCTCTTGTAATGTGCTATACTCGTTGTATCAAGCTTTTGCAGTATAAAAGTAACCTGAACAGTTTGCTTTGAAACAAAACCTAATGCCCTTAATAAAAATAGGCATTTAAAAATTTTAGTAAATTTGAGAACATTTATTTCAAACTTCATAAGAAGTTAGGAAATAGTCTACGAACCACATTTTGCGGAACAAAATATTCTTTGTTTACAGCAACTATAAAATAACTCAGAAATCATTGATTTCTTAAAATATATATATTTTTTTTAAAATTTGATATTTGACAAACATCTAGGAGGTACTAACTACTCTGAAAATAATATACAAAAATAACAATTTTCCTTATGAAGTGCATGCTATTAGAAACAAATTACGTACAAAAAATGAAATTTTCCGAGCTCGAGCTTAATATCAGTTACCCATTTACTCCAAAAAAGAATGAAATGTCAACCTCATCCTTTAAGTATTCGAAATAAAGCTATCTCATTTAGAAACAAATCTGTAATATCTGCATTTTAAAAATATTTGTTAGCTTTTACTGCTATTAGTAAGCACCATGTATTATAGCTTATCAAAGAATTTCGTTGGCTTCAAAAATATGTAGGAAGTAAAAGTCTACATATTTCAAGTGCTCAAAAATAGACGTAAATGAGAAGAAATAAAAGTAATTTGAAATATAAAACGCCAAGTTTCCAACGAAAAACTGCAAATGAAGGCGAGAAGCAAAATTAGAAAAAAACTGTAGCTGAGAGTGAAACAAGCATAAAGATGAAAGGCAGAACAATAAAAATCACTCTAGCCTTAATATTCCTTTTTTCATTGGCAACTTGTTTCATATTTCAAATCACTTTTGTTTCTTCTCATTCACGTCTGGCAACTCTTAGGAATGGGCATTTGTTTTTCAGCTCGAAACTTCTACTTCCATATCCACCTGCATAATTTTGAAGTCAATTAAGTTTTTTTTTAAATAAATAAATATCTTATTGCTTCAGTTTGTTATTATTTCCCATCACTGAGATTGTCTATTTAATGTCACCTAATATTATTTGCAACTTTATCTTCTATTTCCACTTTTAAGGAATAAAAAAAATTTACTTTCTTCATAAGAGTTTTGAACATATTTCTCTAGTTAGTATATTCACATAGCTATCAGTTGAATGTTTTCGTTTTAATTAAAAATTTGTAGTTACAAAAATTGAAATATATTATTCTAACTATTCCTAAAAGATTATAAAAACTTAGTATAACTACAAATTTAGGACACGTAAATGTATAGCATTGAATCACCAGCACCTCAGATTGTTTAACATTACTGACTAATGACAATACTGAAATTCTTAACTGACAGCATAAAAATTTTATCTTAGTTTTAGATTCAAGTAAACAAGAATTTACTAATCTTACAACATTTTAAATTGAATACTGAACTCTGATCAATTTCTTTACTGAGAAATTTTATCACTGAGAATTTCTAGATTCCTCCATTTTGTCAATTATAGAAATTTTTAAGTCACGCGAGATATTTCAGTTCAAATAATTCTTCATTTAGATTTTATTGTAAATTTAATTAAGAAATTTTAACTACAAGTTATTAATGTTATATACTTAACTTCTATTTAGATGTGGAAGTATGTTAAATATTGCTGAAACAAATATAATTAATTTTACTCTTAATCAAATTATAACTTGCCCTTTTAAATTGTGATAGGTATGTGTTCTGAAAACAGCAGTGTTGTGTTCGCAGTTTCAAAGATTGTTACAGTTATAAACATAAAAAAGAAAAAAATGCCTCTAAATTATAATTTTGTTAAGAAAAAGAAAATAGGATTGATTTTGAAAATCTCTAGGCAATTAAAAGAATCATTATTATATTAATGAAATAATTGTGCACAAATAATGCAATATATTAGAAGTCAACAAGAAAGGAAATGCAAATTAAATTAATAGTTTTTCTTTAACACTATAATTCTCTAATATTGTTATTATTTTTCTAACATTCCTTCATTTAAAAAAGTAATTACTTGTTATTTAAAAGGAAGTCGGAATAAACAAAGCTTCAAATTGTGAGAAAAACATGTTTACTTTTAAAAAAGAACGAATATGTGCTCAGTTTAATTTGATGGGGACCTTCAGATCTAAATATTAATTGTTGTTTAAAGTGAGTTTTTGGATATAAAATTGATTTTCTAAACACGGGATTTGCAAGGACATTTGATGAACCGAGTGACTATGAGGGTTGTCCAAGAAATGAAATATTGAAAAGTATGCTGCTAAGAGCAGACGTCTCTACTATAATTTCTACTACTACAATTAAGAATAGTTAAGGCTTCTCTACTATAATTTTATCCTGTCCTCTGATTCAGAGACAGCACAGCAAGTTATTAAAGTTAGCAGTACATTATCTGTTAGGAATTAATTTAAGTGTCTGTACAAATAAAATTATCATTTCATTTCGCCAAAAAATTAAGATACTATAAGAAGCGAAATTGCTAACTTCGTGTGAGTAATTCTCCACGACAATTTATTATCGATCGAAATGGGCTACAGGTGGTGTAGAGCAGAACTCTCTACCTATGGCAACACTTCACATGCTTTCACCATTAGCGTGTGGAGAATCAAAGAAGGCGGAAGTACGTTAGTTTCTGTCTGGATTTCCATATAGATTAAAACCTTTTTTAAGTTAGGAAACTATATGGTACTGAAAACTACATTAAACATAGTTCCAAAAGAAAGTATCATGAAAATTTTAAAAAATATTTTTATTAATTAAAAACGAAAAATATCAAGAAAGAAAAAATATTGACAACAACAACAACTGAAAAGAGGAGGAAAAGGGTCAAATGCATGGAACCGGTTTTCTCCCCAGATGGCGAATTCGAGCCTTGTGATCGCTTATTTACATAGGCCCATGCGCTGTTTATTATCAGAAGACTTTTGCATTAATGCCTTTTATACCCGTTAAGTTTTATTTTTCTTGTGGTGACTAAAAATCTGACTGATATAATACATCTCTGGTAATACTTATCCAGTTGAAACTGAATGTATGGATACCTACCATCACCACGACATGATTTGGTTGCTCGACGCATTTTTAGCGTCCTTGCATTTGCGTCAATCGTTGCGCAAATGTCACCAAGTAAGTAACTCACAATTTACTTTAATTTAGAAATGATTTGCATGAATAAATAAAGCAAAACATTCTAATAAAATTAAAAAGATATATTAATATTTAAAAAGTTTTGTTTGTTTGTTTTGTTTTCGCGATCGCAACACTCGAATACGCCATCTGGGGAGAGACCGGTTTCAGGCCTTTAGCCCTTCTCCCTTCCCTCTCCTCCTCTTTTCAGTTACATAGGAATGTACTACGATATTTTCCCCTTTCTTAATATTTTTCCTTTCTACTTAATAAAAATATTTTCTAAAATTTCCGTGATACTTTTCTTTAGAACTATGTTTAATGTAGTTTTCAGTTCCATATAGTTCTTCAAGTTAAAAGATTTTAATCTATATGAAAATCAAGAGAGAAACTAACGTACTTCCTTCCTCTATGACTTTCCACACGCTAATGGGGTAAGCATGTGAAGTGTTGCCATAGGAAAAGAGTCACCACTGCTCTACGCCACCTGCAGCCCATTTCGATCGCCATTTGGAAAAGACGAGAAAATATTTTTTTTTTCGTTTTTACCAGTTAATGCAGGTGTTTGGCAACGAACTTTACATTTTGTGACGTCATTGGCAGGAATTTGTTTTCGCAGGAGGAGAGTTTATTTGAATTTACTGTATACATTTTTTTTCCTATTGATCATTCTTCCGTTAGTAAACGATTTTATAAATTAATAGTTTAAACAATTTCAAATAATTATCGATGTATTAAAAATTATATAATTCATTTCGACTTGAAATTTCTTCTTCATTTCAAAGGTGGCCGGTTGAACTTAAATAATTTTCCTAATATCTAGAGAGATGTCCGATAACAAAGAAGCTAGTGATACTGTTGGACAAACATCGGATGAAAATAGTGAAAATCAGATGAAAGAAGCTGAAAAAAGTGAAGAGGCCAAATTAAGGGCAAAATATCCACAAGTTCTTAGACCTGGTGGTTCAGTGTTTCTTCAGAAGCGACTGCAGAAGGGACAGAAATACTTTGATTCAGGAGATTACAACATGGCCAAAGCCAAGGGTCAGAAAATCAGACCAACTATTCCAGTAGTACCACAGTTACCTACTGGGGATGCTATTCCGACCCCTGATGATTTGCCAGCGCGTAAGACTTCTATTGTTCAAAGTAAATTGGCTTCTGATGTGGCATAAAATAGTTGTCAAAATGACTATTTCTTAATTTTTTTTGTTTTGTTCCGATGTCTGCCAATTAAAGACAGATTCGAGCTAATCTGATTTCAAACTAGTTTGTTTACAGAAATGTCCGCTTAATGTGACTATTAAAAAAAAGTTGCACTTGTTTTCTATTTATGTAACACCCAAAACAATGTCCATTAAAACTTTAAACCATTTTTGCAGTTATTAACGAATATAAATTGAAAATTCATCAACGTTAGAATAAATATCCTTATTGTTTCTGTTCTGATTTCTGCCAATTGAACCTAGTTTATTTACAGAAATGCTCGCTTGATGCGAACAATAAAGAAAAAGTTGCGTTTGTTTACAATTTGAGTAACTCTTAAAGCACTGTCCATTAGAACTCTGAATCACTCTTACAGTTATTAAGAAATATAAATTTAAAATGAATCTCTATTTTTTCTGATTTCAGCTAATTATCGACAGACGAATTGAAACAAAAGTCAGTTATAACTCATTTACGGGAATGTGCACTTGATGTGACTATTAACTTTTGTGTAACTTTCAAAACCATGTCCAATACACCATACTCGCAGTTATTAAATGGTATGAATTGTAACTTTAAAATACAATATATTTTCAATGTTTTATGTAGTAATGAAATATGTATAACAAAATCTATTCTTAAAGAACTTTGATTAGTTGCCAAAATTATTATGGTCATTCAATTCTTATATTTTGACTTTTTCTTTTTTACTTGCATTTTTAGTTGAATATATGCAATGGACAAAATAAAAAATGTAAATATGCATTGTGTATTTTTCTTAGTCTTTAAATTTTATTGCATGTCATTAAATTGAAGAATACTTTTTTAATTACTAAAATTAGACATTTCCATGATGAAAAATACAATTTTACTTGGTTTTCATCAGCATCCTATTTAAAAGTGTATAAAGCATCTAGGGTAGTTGATTACATTCATAAGAAGAAAAGGTTGTTATATTTGGATGAAATAAGCATTCATAATGAACAACTTGAGAATATTTCTGCATTTTCTTTTTTAATTAAAATAAATTAGCTACTTGACTTCCTGATTATTGTTAGATCTTGTTGCTAAATTAAAAATTAATTTGTTCTACTAAGGCATAAGAGCAATGCAAAAGATTTCCATTTAATTGTTAAAATTTAAATTTTTGCAGATTATTTTATTTCTTATGTCATAATAATTTAATGTCTACTGAGAAAAATAATATTTTCTGTTACGTTAAATACAGCAAACGTAAATTGCTTTACATTTTTATTAGTTTATGGTTATTAGTTTTTATGAGTGGCACCTTAAATTTGGTTTTATTAATTATTAGTAGCATAATATATTTTGATTTCTATTATTTTTAACACACTAGTTTATTCCAGAATTGGGTTCTTGAAAAGCGAGAAGCTTGTGAAGTAATTATGCCTAACCTTGTGGTTTTAATTGGCTTTAAGTGTTATCACATATTTGCATAGAACCTAATTGGCTTTATCGACAAATGGCACGATTCACCTACTATGATGTCATTTGCAGATATCCAATTGTGTGAACTCAAATGAATTTTTTTTCTTTGGTAAAGGAAAAATTATCAAAAAATTTTAGCACTAGATAAAATTAGTTCCAAAAAATATTTTGAAATAGTGTAACTTAAAAAGAAAGCTTTATAATTTTGGGAGAAATTTTAAACCAAGAATTTTGATAAAAATATTAGGCTCTCAGAATTATCTGCATTCTTACTTCTAAGTAATAACAAGATTTTAAGTTTATGAAAATAAATAAATGAAATCTGGAGTTTGAGAGCTAAAGAGTAAATTTTTAAAGTTGATACCTCAGAGGATAAACTAAACCTGATAAATAAGAGTCTAGTGAATTTTGGAAAATCTGCATTTTAGAATCCATTAAAAACACTTCAGAAGCAAAAGTTTCGTTTCTAAATAAATTTCCATTTATTTAAAAACATTGCTGGATACATCAAGGTTTAAAGCATACTTTATTACAATTAATCTGTAAAATTGTCTTCAAATTGTTAGTTGACTTATTCTGCTTCAAACTTAACAAATAATGTCTAGTGGAAGAACATGTTATCTGGCATTTTAGTGAATTTGTAAAATCAGCTTTTAATGTAGTTCCCTCATTTACAAATGCCATATTTTTGAGACTTTTTATGCATATACCAAAGTGTTTTTTTTTTTATTTTTTAAATCAAGCAGTTCTAATTTGGTACTATTTAAGATAACAATTTTGTTTAAATTTTAGAATTTAAAAATTAAAAACTGACTTGTGAATGTTATATATTTCGTTATGTCTATTACATTTAAATTTTATAAGATTTTTAAACTGATGAAATTTACAAAATATAGTATTAACACATTGTTGACGGATGATGAGTTAACTCATCATTACAATGGTATTAGCTATTTCAATTTTTGAAACCCGTGGTGAAATCGAATATTCCTAAGTTTAATTTCATTTGAATCACTATAAATAGAATGTTTTACTTTATTTTAATGGTAGCCTAGTGGTTAGAGCATCATACTTTGGGCCGGGGTTGAATCCTTGATTTTGCACTAAGTGCAATATACCTGCTCATGAAATCTGTGGAATTGAAAGTACAGTGGTCAGTCGCTGTCCACAGTAGAAAATTTCCTTTCTCTTTAGATCTATGTCTAAATTGTGGTAGTGGTCTGTCAAATGAGTACTTTTGCCATATATCCGTGAGGTAATGAGCTAAGATGTACTTTCACTCTTGCAGTGCTCCTTCCTCAAATAAAAGGAAATCCTTCTAGACTTAATTGCAAGGTCAACAGCTTGCTATCTTAGTTTGTCTGTCATTAAGAACAACTTAATTTCCATATTCAATTACAAAATAATAGCTGGTAACATGAATTAATTTCTGTCAAAAATTACTGGTCAGCTAAGTGTTATTATGTAAATGACATATATTTTAGCAAAAGTTATTAGATTTATTATTTTTTTTAACTGAGTTATATGCTCTTAAAGTTGGTAAATATGACATTCCTCTAAATGGTGGAATAGCCCTATATCACATTACAGTTTTTTTTCTTTCTATTGATTTAGATATTGTTAGCAATTCAGTGTTTTCAAATTGTCACTTTTCTAGTGCTGTGCATAGTTGTTTAATTTATTAGCATTCCAAGAGCAGAATTATGTCTAATGTTCTGCAGCAAGATTTGATAATAACAGCCATTTTATAATAAGACATTTAATAATTGCAAATTTTCTGCGATAATTATCAAAACGAAGTGACTTTTGCTTAGTAAATTAATGCCATTTTTTTAATGACAAATAATTCTGTTTCATCAAAAAAAAAAAAAAAAAAANCATAAAAAAAAAAAAAAAAGAATCTACCTAGTTTAATATCAAAAATATGTATAAATAAATGACTGCATTGCATAATGAAACGAAATCTGTAAACAGCAAATATGAAAGATTCTTCCCAATCATTAATTGTTCTGCTCAGAAGTGGAAGGAAGTAAATTGTTTGGTAGTATCATGGGTGCAAGTCTTCTGTCCGCAGGACGGATTTCCGTCTATCGAAAATGTCCGCGGACGGAGGTAAGACGGTGCTAATAATATTTCTCCATATTAATTATAATTTCTAAAACTCAATAGATGGCGCTCTGCGCAGTAATGTAAAATCATTAGTTTTCTAATCAGTTTCCTCCATGACATGGTACCATTATCATCATCCTTTTGTTATTAAATATATATTATGTTAAAAGGCGTTTGTTATGATTGAAACCCCGAGATCTGAGATCATATCACCGTATTTAATAGACGGAAACAAGACTAACTCGAAGACGGAAAATCGGAATTTTTTTTTTCTGTCCTTAAAAATAATTTTTAGGTCTACTTTCTTATGTCCTGTTGTTATTTTGTCAAAAGACAGATGAATAAATATTTTTTGTACAGTATTTAAATTTAAACTTGATGTATTATGGTAAAGCTTTGTTACTGTTTGTCTACGATAAATCAGATTAAATAAGTCTCCTACTGGTGGCTGAGTCAGCCAATCTGGTATACTTCCCATACAAGCTATCATCGAAGCTACCCTCCCTAAAATGCCCTCTTCTTGTTTCCATCGCACCAGACTGTCGCAGACTTTGTGGCTGTCAGAGTACCTATCGTAGACAAACAGTAGATAGTTTGCATATGTCGAGGGGGTATTGTGTATGTTAGGTATTTCATTCAAAAAATTTTCAGTCTTGGCCTTTTTTTCAACTTGCACCCATGGGTAGTATGGACTTTGATTGTTCTATGATGTATGACACAGGAGCACTTTCTGCTGTTGAGGTTTTCGTTCTGACATCTGTGGTTTTGTTATTCAACTTAAGCTGTTATATTTTCAGGCATTTTGCTCATAAATATTTAAGAAGAGTTTCACAAAACCTAAAATTTCTTTTTGTTTTGTGAGGATTTAGACAGTATTTTGCATATCTAGTCATATTGTCGTATATTCTCTATTAAATTATGATACTGCACACTTGACTTTTTACACATAATTTTAAAATTTGTTTATCTCTTACTTTTAAATAGTAAAATTAAAGCATCTTTTAATGAAAGTTTAATGACTTTCTTTGAAAAAAAAAAGATTAATTATTTTTATTTGAAAATAATTCTCTTGAATTTTTACATATATACTTTAAAAACTTTTGTTTTTATTAGTTAAATTTTATAAATATAATAAAAATATTATCAGAAACATATATTTGAAACTGTATTGCCTCATGAAGATTGTTTTGTACATATTGCATGATTCAAATTTGTTGAAAATGGATTATCTACTATAAACTAAGTTAAAATAAACTAATTGCAAATCAAGTTACTCTTGAAGTGACAAAACTATTAAAATGAATTGTGTTGCCTTATATATAAGGGAGCGCATACTTTTAATTGCAGTTGGGGAAAAATTTTTATTCAGGAAAAGTAAATTTAGCCATTTATTAAAAAAGAAAAACCTTTTAAGGAAAGGCAATTCTAATTTGTTTTCAACAATAAAATAAATTATGATTTTGGAGATCATGTTTTTAAATTGAATATTGTTATAATTTTCATGATTTTTGTGAAAAAATCAATTAGGTTCCACAAATTTCATGAAGATGATAAAAATCCTATCAATAATTAATAATTAGCTGCAAATTTCTAAAGTATTATGAGTTTTTCAGTGCTGAAAAAAGAACATGCTGAAAAAAGAACAGTTTCAACTATTCTCAGTTATATTGATTGCTCTGTTATGTTACAGAATAATTCCTTCCTTAATTAATTTAACATGCTCTCAGTGAAGCTTGTATTAGGTTTAATAGAGTTATAAGCTATCTTAATACTACCAAATAAAAGCAGATACAGCAGTTGACCCTAAGCGCAGGTGTCACTCAAGAGATGAAATAATCTGACAGAAATGGTTGCCAAGGGAATCAGAAATTTTTAATGCATTTAAAATTTAATTAAAAATCATCCAATTTGTTTCTCAATGAAAGGGAAAAGTTCACTGCATACGTTTTTCTAACTTCAAAGTTAGAATCTGCAACATATTCATGGATGCCACAATTTAATAATTATGTGCAAAAAATGTTTCTTAAATCTTTTTTTTTAAATAGAAATATTTGTCCTAAGAACAAATGAGATGGTTCATTTGAAAGAAAAAGTTTGAACTTACAATGAAAAAAAAATATAATAATTCAAGGATGTTTTATTTGAACGAGATAGGCTTCAAATTGCAGAAATATCGGGGGGGGGGGG